ACATCACTAATTATTAGGGAAATACAAATCAAAACTACAATGAGATAGCACCTCACACCCGTCAGAATGGTTACAATTAATAAGATAAGAAATAATACGTGTTAGAGAGGATGTGGAGAAAAGGGAATACACTGCTGGTGAGAATGTAAACTGGTGCAGCCGCTGTGGAAAACAGTATGGAGATTCCTCAAAAAATTAAGAATAGAACTACCATATGATCCAGCTGTTCCACTGCTGAGTATTTATCCAAAGAACATGCAAACACAAATACTTAAAGATATATGCACCACTATGTTCACTGCAGCAATTATTCACAATAGCCAAGACTTGGAAACAACCTAAGTGCCCATCAGTGGATGAATGGAAAAAGAAGATGTGGTATATATACACAATGGAATACTTCTCAGCTATAAAGAAAGATGAAATCTTGCCATTTGCAACAACATGGACGGACCTTGAGGGTATTATGCTAAGCAAAATAAGTTGGACAGAGAAAGTCAAATACAATATGATCTCACTCATAAGTGGAAGATAAAAACAACAGCAACAACAAACACATAGATACAGAGAACAGATTGGTGGTTACCAGAGGGGTTGAGAGGGGGGAGGAGGGTGAAAGAGGTTATAGGGCATATGTGTTTGGTGACAGATGGTAATTAGTCTTTGGGTGGTGAACACGATATAGTCTATACAGAAATGGAAATATAAGGATGTACACCTGAAATTTATATAATATTATTAACCAATGTTACCTCAAAAAAAAAAAAGCTATAATCTTTACTAGAAAAACAATTAACGGGCCTGTCCTACTGGTGATAGGTCTTAGTGTCATTGTTGAACACTAAGGGTAGTATTACTTTATTACTGTGTGGTCTAGACTAGTGTTTCCCAGTCTGAGTTAAAGGCCAAGTGAGCTAGGTTCCATATTTCAAAAAGTCTAATGGAACTCTACTTAACATAAGACTTCAGGGCCGGCCCCGTGGCTTAGCAGTTAAGTGCGCGCGCTCCACTGCTGGCGGCCCGGGGTTCAGATCCCGCTTCTCTGGCCATGCTGAGGCCTTGTCCCACGTACAGCAACTAGAAGGATGTGCAGCTATGACATACAACTATCTACTGGGGCTTTGGGGGAAAGAAAAAAAAAACATAAGACTTCAAAAATATAACTAAAGAAAATTTTTTTTCTAAAACTGCTATCATGATGTTGGGACTATTGATTATACATTTTGAATAAATAAAAAGTTAGATCCCCATCTCACATGACACACAAAAATTGAATTCCATGAAAACTACAAAATCTAAAGATAAAAAACAAAACTCTAATCGTAGAAAATGACATGGGGGATTTATTTATAATCTTTGAGGACAGAAAGTCTTTCAAAATAAGAAACAAAGAATCCAAAAAGATTAGTTCTATCTAAGTAAAAATGTAAAACTCTCGTATGGTGAAAGATACTTTCAATGCAGAAGAAAATGGCAGCCCGAGAAAAAAGTATTTGGAACATATATAAAAAATAAAGGGTTAATGTCTGCTATGGACTGAATTGTGTCCCCCCAAAATCCATATTTAAGTCCTATCCCCCAATTTGAAGGTATTTGTAGATGGGGTCTTTGGGAGGTAATTAGGTTTAGATGAGGTCATGAGGGAGGGGTCTTCATGATGGGATTTGTGCCCTTATCGAAAGAGACCAGAGAGTTTTTCTCTCTCTCTCTGTCTCTCTTTCTTTCTTTTTCTCTCTCTCTCTCTTTCTTCACCATGTGAGGATACAGCAAGAAAATAGCTAGGAAGAGCGCTCTCACCAGATACTGACTGGCTGGCACCTTGATCTTGGACTTCTTAGCCTCCAGAAATGTGAGAAATAAATTTCTATTGTTTAAGCCACCCAGTCTACGGTACTTTCTTATAACAGTCCAAGCTGACTAAGACAATATTCTTAATATACACAGTCCTCCTGAAAGTCAATAAGAAAAAGTTAACGTATTAAAAATAGATAAAGGTCAGGAAGAGGAAATTTACAGAGGAAGTGCAAATGACTAATAAAAGTAAGAAAAGATGCTCAGCTTCATTAGCAACAGGAAATACAAGTAACATACAAAGTATGATTTAAATATGATTTATTTTTGCCAGTCAGATTGGTGACAATAAAAAGATTGCTGTAATACACAGGAGACGATGTTAGGAACAGGCATTTTCTCTTAGAAGAGAACAGGAGTACACATTGCACAGTTCAGCAGTACATATCAACAAGGAAAATGAGGGTGCCTTAATCAGCAATTCCACAAAACACAAAGAAAAAAGTATGAGGCTGTGCATATTGAAATAGCATTATTTGAAAGAGGGAAATAACTGGAAACAAAAACAACTCTCCTTCAATAGGAAAACTGTTCTTTAAATTATGGTACATTTATATTATGTAATGCTATTTGGCTATTAAAAAGAATATTCTGTATGTACTGACATGGACAATTGAAATAAAAAAGCTTCAGAACACAACAGTATGTCTACTACGAGCTCATTTTTTAGAACTAAAGCTATATAGGTGAGTACTGGTGTGGGATTGCCTCATTTAACACGAGAAAGTCAGCGCTTCAACAACTACGGAATGCATACTGTTAATTTGGGGTTTTACCAATCAGACATTGACAATAACTCAAATGAAATTAAATACAAAACTCTAAGACTGAGTTTATATCCTTTTATAAGTGGAAAGTTAAAAGTGCACTTCAAATTCAAAACATGATTCCTTTAGATTTCAATAATTCTGCCTCTGCTTTGCTATGAATAAGATTAACATATAGTTGTATCTTCATTATTCTTTCGTAAACTATCTAGATTAACTGAAAATATGCTTTCGCAAATATGGGATTTTTGAGGCATAAAACCTTCAAAGTACTTTCTCATAATTGTATATCATATTTTTATCATATTGCTTTCAGTTGATATTTTTGCAGGGCGGAAAGACAGCTCTGCCAGAAACTCTTTGCAGTAACTCCCCATAGTAGATTTGAACAAAACACTTGGTATGTTTTAACTTACATCTCAACATTACTAAGATTTCATTTTATCCAAGTTTCTGATTTACTGCATGTGCTGTCACGTTTGGGTTCAAAATGAAGGGACTGTTCTCACTTGGAGAAAAAGAAATGTAGTTTAATCTTGCTCCAGTGCTATTATACCATTTCAGGTTTTCTGACAGTTTGATAGAATTCAATGGCACAGGATATATCAAGGTAAACACATTCTAACATAAGGAGACTGAAAGTGCAAAAGCAAAAACATATTTCAAACACTCTCATTTATCAGAAGAGCAATCATTTCGGACAATGCCACAACTGGTGATGCGTGGGCATGGTACGGAGATGTCTCGCTTCCTGCATTTTTAGGAACCAAGTTTTTCCCTTTGTATTCCATAGTGGGTTTTTGTGTGTATGTGAGGAAGATCAGCCCTGAGCTAACATCCAATGCCAATCCTCCTTTTTGTTGTTGTTGTTTTTTTGCTGAGGAAGATTGGCCCTGGGCTAACATCCATGCCCATCTTCCTCTACTTTATATGGGACGCCGCCACAGCACGGCTTAACAAGCGGGGTGTCGGTGAGCACCCAGGATCCGAACCTGCAAACCCTGGGCCACCGAAGTGGAGAGTGCACACTTAACTGCTGCACCACCAGGCCAGCCCCCCATAGTGGTTTTTATCATCTCAAATTTCTATTAATTGCAAAAAGCATGTGGCATGCATATGACATTCATTCTCTTATCTTTATGGATTACAAGATAGAAGAATGAGTCCTAAATGTTTTCATACTAAATGTTTTCATGATGTTCCTAGATAATTTTTTTAAGCATGGTTCCAGTTTGAATGCTATTAGGAAGGCAGGAATGAAAAAAATTTTGCCTAATGTGGAAATTACTAGTGCTGTCCACCAATTATTTTCAATTCTCCTCCTGGGCATATCATAGTATTGCAGTTACCTGGCCCCCTTGAAGTTAGTAGGGCCATAGCACTTGCTTTGGCCAGAGATGTGTGAGAAAAAGCAATATGTGTTACCTACGGGTGAAAGTTCTAAAAGCCAGTGCATGATTCACCATGCTGTGTTTTTCCCTGTAGTACGGCAAACAGCAACATATAAGCTGGTGGCTGTTTTGTCACCTGAGGCCTCTGAGTGATTACAATGAGCAGAGCTCCTTTCTGAGTGGACAGGAGCCCTAGGTGAGATCCAAACCTTTGTAGGTGTATAGCACTGCCATTTTGGGTTTGTTTGTTCTCACAGACATACCTCGGCTATCCTGACCGACACACCTGGGCCACTCTGTTCTGGAAATAATCAGATTCCCACCAGAATTATGATCTGCCTAGGTAAGGTGAGGCACAGGAAAAAGAAAGAAAGCAGATGTCACGGAAGTGTGAGCAGAAAAGGGAGAGCAACAGGTAACAAGAGAAAACAAGTTGAAATCGTTCTCATCTAATAGCAGATCAAAACGGGAGTTTAGATCCAAGGGTTCCAAGTTTTATACAATGATCTTCCTAAAAATAACCACTCTTGATAAACACTAGTCCAAGTTTATTACAAAATCATTTGTTTGAAGTTTTAAACTAGTCCAAGCACTAAAATTACATGAGTTGCATACTGATGAAAGCAACAAAATATACATATCACTATTTAATCTCTTATACAATTCAACAAGTATGAAGAACACAAAATACGTTTATTCGCATAACACATTTCATCTGGTGTTAAAATGTGTCAGTAACAAGTTGAAGTCCAACACTATCTACCAGGTGGTAAAATATTCTGACATCCAGATGAGGAAGTAAGAGAATGGACATTCTCATCCTTTATATTCTGACCTTCGTTTATTAATTTGGAGCAATGATGATGACAGCTAGGGGAAGCTAGCCACAAGTTCCACAAAAAATTCACTTTATGTGATTAACAAGTCCACTTATTTGGAGTCTAACTTCAGATTAGGCACAAAACTAAAGCAGATTTTTCTTTTTAAGTCTGAAAATGAGCAAACAAGGCCACTTGTTACTAAGACAGATATACGTGTGTGTGTGTGTGCCTGTCTGCTAACTTTTAGGTATTTTCCACTTCAGCAATACAGATAATTAGAAGTAACTTTCTGCCTTTAGAAAAAGAATTAAAAGAGCCTGTTTCTATCACCTAGTTAAATCCATTAGTAAAAAGGCTGATGTTCTGGGATGCATTCACAGCTAATCATGAGTCGGCATTATCTGTCTTTGTATTCATAATCAGAAACACCCAGGTGCTGTTGGATTAGTTTTTTCGGTCTCATTTTTCTAAAAATTCACTAACATCAGAAAAAGCCTGGCATTTTCAAGTCACTTGCCTGGAATAATATATTTCCCAAGAAATAATACGTTCAAATAGTATATGAAGTTGCTTAGACACTCTACCCAATGAGAAGGGAAATTCAGTTACTCTATGGTCTAATTATGAATTTCAAAATAGAGCTTAAAACTTCAAAATTGGTAAACTCGTTGAACACCATTTGTACCACTTATTTCCAGTAATCCGAACAAATATACTTCCATTTTGAACATTTATATGAAAGTTGTTGGTGGATGATCCACTCTATTATTCATTATACAATAAATTGCCCAACTACACCAAAATATATATAATAACAGAAATAAAATTCTGAAGTCATATATGTACATTGTTGTGTTACTTTATTTTTTTTCCTTGGGCAAAAAGCCTAAAACAATGTAAATTGATATTCTTCTACTAAATTTTTTTTTCAATTTTTGGAGCCTACTTGTTGAGTAGACATCATCATAAAACCAGTTTAGTTGCCCTAAACCTATGCTCAGATAATATAGATAATCCTTCCAGGATATGCGCAGGGTGACTCCCCTGTTACTCTGGAAAACCTTGCATGCTCATGCACTCCCACACATGGTCATGTCACAATATCTCCTCAATGCAGATGCACGTGGCCAGGGTGGCATCACGGCAAACAAGCAACAATTCTGCCATTTGACTAGAAGCCTCAAGGAGAAAAGGCCTGGAACTCTAAATGAGAGTTTCTCCGCTGTGCCTCTCCCGGGTCACAACACATGGACGTGTTCGCTGGAGCATCCTGCCCAGCGTGGGGAAGGACGGAGCTTTAGTTCCTTGTGCCTCGGTTCACAGGACATCAACACTCTTAAGTAGCTGTGAGAAACAGACATCTCCTCTAAACCATCTAAAAGTTCTTCTGGACTTGAAGTGCTCTTGAACCATTGAGAACATTTATGAAATGAACAGCAATCACAAATTGCAATGAATTTTTTTAAGCATATACACTGGATTTATACACACACACATATATAGTATATATATGTATACATATAAACATATATGTCACAATAACCAATACGTAATTGTCAGTTTAAATTAAAAATGCACAAAAACTTTGCAATTCCATGCTCATTTTGCACCAAGAAATTCTTAACTGTAATTCAATTTGGCTAGTATTTATCGAGCATCTTCTGTGTGCTCTATATATGAGAATAACCTAAATTTGTGTGATTAATCATTTATTGGCCTTAAATTAAGAATATCATGAGCCAGTGTGTGTATGTGTGTTTCCCTTCTTTAAATTCACAGGAAAAATGGTTGCCTTTAAATCTTCAATGAGGCTATTTGCTTAATTTCTTTTAATTTATTCATGAGAATTTACCAAAATTCACAACAGTTAGCAAAGACTTCCAATGTAAATTACAAGTCAAAAGCAAAAATTTGTGAACATAATAACTTAAGTCTAGTTGAACTGCACAGATTTCCTAGAGAATCTGAAATCAGGCAATCTCTCAGATTAATTTTAAAATGGACCCCAGTTAATGAAGGTAATGAACTCTTTCATAGAAATGCATTTCCCTATTATAAAGCAGAACTACCTGCCCTATGCTCTGATGAACCCAGGACACTTTGAATGATTATAAAATTCTTTGGGTTGAATTATACAAACAAAAAAAGAAAAAGTCTCAAGTATTATTGGGAAATTTGGGGAGAGATGATTATCCCCTGCCTTCATGGTTAACCATCATAATGATCTCCAAACGCCTGGCTAATTGCCAGTCCTCCCCTTGACACTGGTACCATAGGCTTTAGAAGATGCCATTTTACAGATTTAATGAACCCACTATCAACAGAAATTTCTGATGTCCTTTTGGAGTGTGTATATATGTGTGATGTGTGTGTGTGTGCCTTCATGTGTGTATGTGTGTGTAAGTGGAAAGCAGAAACACACTAGCTACAGATAGTCTTTGAATATTATACACAGATTGCGTTTCTTTTGTTCTCTGACACAGAAATGATGGCTCAAAGTAAAACACCTTTGCCCATGTTCTTGACACCAATCACCGGGTTTAAGTTCTGTTTGTTTGCATTATCCATGGTAGAGCTTCTTGGAAACTGCAAGTCGCCTCTATGTGTGCTGAGATAGAGCCTTTGTTTCTCTAAAGATTACTTATTGTGCATAATGCACTAGAATTTTCAGAGGATAAGGGGATTATCTGAAAACTGTGCAAATCTATGACCTACCAAAAAAACCCTTCAAATGAAAATTGACCTTCATAATAATAAATGCAAACAATCATATCTGTCAAATATGATGAGAATGGGCTCATTCTAAACAGGCTTGTAAGATGAGGCAACCTAACAGCAAGACCCGGTGTATGCAGAGGTCATTATAACAAGCCACAGTGAATCCTAAGTGGCATGACCACACATACATTGATTGAGTCTACATAATGAGGGGTAAAATAAGCCCGATCAAAAGATGAGGGCACTCCAATTCATTGAGCCTAGTCTATAAAGAACAGCTGCAGAGCAGTGACCCCCAAACAGCCATTTCACTGTGCAGGTAGCATTAAGACATTCTTTAGCAAATAGGCCAAGTAAATGCTTTAGGCTTCAACAGAGTCACTTCTTCAAAAGCATGACTAACACAGATAAGCCCAAAATTGTTTTCAATTTGACTCCCACAGCATTATTGCATTGTGTTTACGTCCAGTTGACAAAAGCAAGTGAAAATGTGCAATTAAACAGTTAATTTAACAAATTTCAAAAGCCAAATCTAACAAAAGTGCCCCCATACTACCTGCTGAGGTCTGAATTTTCCAGTTAGTCTTTATATACGTATCAAATTAACTGACATACTGCCAAAACTTTTTAAATTTTATCGTAGATCTACACTGACTTACTACCCTATTAAACTAGGTGCTTGCTGATTTATTTTCTCTGCAACTGGTGACTCAGAAATAGCAGCAACTTTTAAGGAATTTTTAATGGAGCTAAGCTCCCAAACATGCAAGCTGATGACATGCACTCCACAACAGCGTCGGGCAAGCTTGTAGAGATTCTTAAGGACAGCCTTCCGTAGAAGAATATAGACCCAGGGATCTAAGATTTGATTCCACGTTGCCATTCGGAGAGCAAAAAGTATGGTTTCACAGGTCTCCAGAGAATGATTTCCATTTATTCCAATGTTGGCCATTGTCACCTGCAAAACAAACAAAATAGGAAAATCAGTTGATAACAGCTATTTTCTCGGTTACCTATAGTTTTTTAACTTAACTAGCTATGCTACATGGTATTCATTTCGCTTTCCACAAAATTATGTTATTTTGAAAAACATCGACAAAAACAAATGAATAATAGCAGAGACATTGATGGAGACATCTGAATCCTTTGAATTCAAATTGACATCAGAACTACAGAATTGATAACTTTTATAGTAAGGCAAATGTGCACAAGCAGAATGACCTAAGAGAAGGCACACGGACATTAGTAACTGACCTTTGCCTATTTTTGGGAATAGTAAGTTCAAAGCCAACACACATTTGTATATTTAAATGAAAAAAACTAAACTTTATTTATGTAAATAAATTATAGACAAGCTAAAGTATAGATAAACTTATACATAAGAGCTTTTGAGAATGAATTTAGAGTATCTGATATTAATTCACACATGGTACCTAATGTTGTTCTGGAATGTGACTTTTAGAATTTTCTGCTTGGTAACTACAATGACACTAGTGTCTTCTATTTCATATTCCCTTTTCTGCATCTCTCACTCTAGCCTTAACTTGACTAAAATATTTCAAAAATGCAATGAAATTTTCTAAGGGCTTTGAGAAAATGAATCCCCTTCTACACTACCATTGAGATGTAACAATAACAATGCAGAGTTTGGTCTCATGTGTCCATTTCCTGACCACTTGTAATGTTAAAGAGATGATTTTGTGGAATAAATTCCATAAATGATCCCAGCTACATATTAGAACTGGTCTAACCACTGAACCCAGCTTTGACTTCCAAATAACAGCTGCAGAAGAGACAAACAAGGGGTGGGGATGAAAACACTTTGAATATAAAAACAAATAAGAAATAAATGAACAAAAGGTGAAACTGAAAAATTAAGGGAGACATGGGTCATTAAGCCACTAAGATTAAGAGGGATGTAACAAAGCCTATAACCCAAAAGAAAAGAAAAACAAGTCTTCTTGGTCTTCTTAATGGACTATTATCAGAAAGAAATGTCTTAATTTGGCCTGCTGATGCTAATGGTTGAAGGATAAATCATCAAAACCATCATTATCTACACAACAAAGCACAAACTCCTTAGCTGGCTCCTTGATGATGCATCTGAAGTCTACCTCTACAATCTCCGCTCCCCTACAAATACCCTAAGCCCCAACCGCTGTGAAGGCCTCACCTGTTCCACAAGCACCATGCCCTTCTGAGCTTTGGCTTACGTGTTTCTCTTTGTCTTGAACTCCTGGTCCCCCTTTCTCTCCCTGACAAACTCCTATCCACCTTCAGACCCCATGAAAAATGGGCTCACCTCCGGGAAACTTTCCCCAACTTCACTGAGAGAAATTAGCAAGTTGCTCCCTCCTCTGTGCTCCCAGAGCACCCTGTCCAGACCCAGTTGTATCACTTACCACACTGAAGGATAATTATGCGTTTATCTGCATATCTATGAGCACCTCTTCTTTTTCTTTTGTTTCTAATTCTCAGTACAAAGCTGACACCTAGGATGTATTCAGCAAGTGTTGGAATGAATAAAATTGTCCTATTTTTTTATTCATCGAGGCTATTTCTACAAGCACAGCAACTAGTCATCAGAGAAACATCTGGCCATCCATCACAATGGTCTAATATTTTGAGGCTTAAAATGTTCTAAAAGTTTTAATACAACAGCATCCACTAGTGAAGGACTTCAAAGTGGTTTGTTGCCACTAGTAGGATCAGGATCTTGCAGTCCACACAGATCCCTTGGGAAATGGTTCTTTCCCTTGGGTTCATTTCCTGGGACAATAATGTATCAAACTGCAGGCCTAAAGATTCTGTGGCTGAATAAGGCTGACCAAGTCTCAACCCAGAAAAAATTACAGTCCCCATACAATAGTACCTGGGTCAGATACAGACTCTTATGTCACTGCTCCCCAGGTTACCCAACAGGATTGAAGAAGTAAACCTATATGGACCCAGCTCCTCTTAGAAGAAAGCAGGGCCAAGACCCAATTGGCAGTTGGATTGCGATATTTTCACTTTATATTTTCTTTACTCACCAAATATTTATTGATTATCTGCTCTGTGCCAGGCAATGTGCTAGGCACTGAGGATACAATGGCAAAGAAAGCAGACACTGTGCCTGCCCAGATGGAATTTACAATCTGTTTGCAGGGTTGGGTGAGGGCATTGGGTTCAAGGATGAATGAATAAATATTTATCTTGCCTCATGAGTATTAAACGAATGCATTTCCTATTAACTACGAGGTACGTTCCTGGGGGTCTCAGAGCCCAGCCAAGATACTGGTCTGTGTAGTTGGGAACAAAGATGCTCAATGTAATTGCATGAAACAGCTGGGTCTGGTTTAGAGACGTGCAAATTAAAAACGCCTGAGTTACATGGCACGCACTTCTCTGACTCTCTCCTGCAAACAGCAATGTGATCACCAGCCACGAAAAGACATTCAGTCCTCTGCTGAGGGAAGCCAGTGCCCAAGGTTCTCTCCAGAACACCAGGGCAGTGCCCAGGCACTCATTCTCTCTCTCCCTCCTTCCATCCCCAGCTCAGCCTGGAAAAGAGGTTACTCTAGAGCCTGACTTGGGAGAAGCACTGGTTAGCCACCAATAAAGATTTGGTGGAGTATTTACGTAAAAGAAAGATCATTAGCGTATTATTGATAATAATATATTATTGAAAATTTAGGACAACCTAAGTATCCAACAAAAGATAAATTATGGTAATTTCATGTATTGAAAAGTATGCAAATATTAATGTTTGGGATTCAGCGTTAACTTTTTAAAAAGTAAGTTACCAAGTGTATTGACTGTATGATCCCAAATTTGAAAAAAAAGACAAATATGTAACTTTGTGCGTGCATAGAAAAAAGACTGGGATGTATATCAATGTCTTCATTGGTTAACTCTAGATAGTAGAATTAAAGAGGATTTTGATTTTCTCCTTTGGTTTGTCTCTAATTTACTAAATTTTTAGATAGATCATGTGTTGCTTTAGTAATTTGTGCTTTTTTCCCCCAAGTAATTTGTTGAAATATACTATTGTACCAAAGAATCAGAACTAATATGGATTATTTATACATGTCTATGTGTATATGAATGACGTGCCACAGAATTGCCTGAAAAATTTGAGCCCTTATAAGACTGGCAGAAGTGTAGGAGCCGAGGTAAGAACAAGGACCATCTGCCCTTTTCCCTGGGCTCTGTCAACAGTCACCTCACAAGCCTTGAGAGCATTCTTCCCTGGCCAGTCCACGCGAACTTGAATTCCAGAGAGTTGTGTACAGATTCTCATCACACACACAGCCTTTCATCTAGTTTCCAAGAGCTACCCAGCACATGGAACTATTATGCATTATTTTCTAAAATTCCTTCCTTTGGACCTTGGCACATTACAGTTGTTCATCTTTGTTAATGATTAGCATTCTAACTGAGAAGTGGACAGGGCCAATGCTTGGATATTCTATGGAAAAATCAATTAATTAACCTGATACCTCTGAATACTCAACACTAAGATGTGAGAGAAAAAATGAGGTCAAAGAAGTATATGGGGGGCCAGCCCCATGGCTTAGCAGTAGGGTGTGTGCGCTCCGCTGCTGGTGGCCCGGGTTTGGATCCCGGGCGTGCACCGACACACTGCTTCTCCAGCCATGCTGAGGCCGCGTCCCACATGCAGCAGCTGGAAGGCTGTGCAGCTGTGACATACAACTATCTACTGGTGCTTTGGGGGAAAAATAAATAAATAAATAAAAATTAAAAAAAAAAAAAAAAGAAGTATATGGGAAGGAGAGTTTATGTTCATTGCCAGGTTGCAAAGAACAAAATAAGATAGATGACACAATAAAATCTCCATTTATTTGGGTCACATAATACAATTATATCAACTGTTAAGGTCACCAAAATTAACTAATCTGCCAGGCTACTTTACTCATAGATAACGCAGCTCACGTTCACTAAAGTTTTTTTCTGGAAATTACTCCTTCATCCCTTACCCTAAGTCAGTATATCTGTTGGCCAGTGTCAGGACTTTAGTGGCTGTTCAGAATTAAAAGCAACAGTAAATTCAAGAATTATGCTTCTGTTCCTTTGAGTAATCATAAAAGTAAATCAATCCAGCATGAGTAGCTTTTGAGTGTCCACTGTGTCTACGCATTGTGCTAGATGCTAGTGACGTAGAGATGAATATTTAGAGAAATCCTAACATATGATATATTTTGCTTATTTATCTAGATTTTATTCCTGTCTTTGACACTAAAATATAATCTTCAAAGTACATATTTTTGTCTAACTGGTTCTCTGCTGTATCCCCAACACCTGGCATACAGGAGGACAGTCAATATTTGTTGAATGAATTGAATAAATGAAGCTCCTATGAGAATAGACTAACAAGAAAGCAAACAGTTATAATGTTGTAAGTAATATAATAAAGACACATGAAAGGTGCCACAGGCAGGGCTATTTACTGGTACATGATCGCAGATGTGGTCATTAAAAATGATAAGTTTTTGCAACTTTTCTAGTACATCAAAACTTCAGTTATTCCAATTTGACTAATTTTGAATTTATGGTGATTCTGCTGCAGTTTTTCTGAATTTCTCCTTGGTACCATTTTTTTTTAAGGAAATTTCAATGAATATATAATCAAAACTATTTCTGGCAGAATGTCCAACTTCTTTAGATACTAAGCCATTTTTTAGAATTTAATCAACATCTATTTTCATGTGAACAATATTTATGACAATTATCTATGGTTCTCATCTAGCCACTGAAGCAGGTATTTTCACACGTAGCTATCTTATTTCAAGAAGCAGACCACTCCTTTCCTCCTTTCTGTCACCATAGAAGACTAGTTCAGACACTTTCTTTGGGGAATGAAGGCATACACAGAAGTACAATTCATTGATTTGCAAGTTAGTATCCTTCATAACATTGTCATCTAAAGACTGATCTTTAGATTTGGCACTTGAATAA